TATATATATATATATATATATATATATATATATATATTCATCAAAATATCAGATTGTACCCATAAGTATGTACAATTACAATGTATAAGTTGAAATAAAAAAGAATTGGTAGCTGGTTATAATTCTTAAAATGTTTAACTTTCAAAAGAAGTAGTAAAAAGAAAAGGCTACCTAACAGGTAAAAATGGTTATAGTAAAGTACTCTATTTTCTCTGCCATCTTCTTATTGACCCTCTGATCAGAGAAGACTTGCTCATTTTAAACCATTGGGAATTAGTGGTTTAATTTTTGATAATAATAATAATTCAGTAATAATAGTGATATGAACACATATAATAACTAGAATGTACTAAGTGCTTCCTATGTTCTCTTCTTTGTGGCATTTAATTTTTCAACCAAACCATGTGAAGTAGGTACTGTTATTACACAATTTTAAAGAAAAGTTATAGTGGCAAATTATAGGCAACGTCTGCTCCTGAAGAACTGGCCATGTGTGTTCCAAGATGGACAGAAAGAGGTTCTGGAAAAAGCAGATAAGCACCCTGAAAGATTTTACTGTGGTGTCCTCCCTTCCTTGAATCATAAACCAAAGATAATACAGAGGAAATATTCAAACTACTTGTATTTTCAAAACACTTTTGCAGTTAAGTTGATAAGACATTTTATTATAGCTCTTCATATATACCAGGCTACTTTTGCTATGTCTGTATTTGTCATCTAGAACCCTGGAGGTAGATGAGTATTGGTATCTTTTTATGTAGAAAATATTCCTTGATGATTAAGAGTCACGGTGTCAGACTGCTGAGTTTACATCCTGACTTGTATATTCAAATAAGTTATTTACACCCCTCAATTTTCTCATTGCAAAAATAATAAAAATAAGTACATCTTGAGTTTTGTATGAGAATTAAATAGAATAACGGAAATAAGGCACACAATAGAACACAATAAAAGCTCAATGCACATTAGCTCCTATTAAATCTATCATACAGGTGAACTACCAGAGGCACAGAGTCCAATGCCACAGACACAGTGAGTGTCATATTAATAATTAACAGCCATGACTTTTTGGTCAACATCATTCTTCTTCTACACTACTCATTCCAGTTGTCTCCAAACTTGACCTGTGGATCTCTAGGCAAACCAGGGAATTATTTCAAGAGATCCTTAACTTCAAATAAAATAATAATAACAACAATAATAGCATCTAATATTCATTAAGCACTAAACTATTTGTATCACTGTGCTAAATTCTTACTTATACCACCTTATTTAATCCTCAAACTCCTATTAGATGTTATTACTTCCTCGTTTTACAGATAAGGAAGCCAAGGCCAATAATAATATTTATAAATTAAATAATAATATTTAAATGGTCAAGTAACTGCCCAAGGATACACAGCTGGTAATTTCTCAGAGAATCAAATTCAGGCAATGTGGCTTCAAAGCTCAAGTCTTAACCATTCACTTTCACCTATTAATTAAATAAGTAAACTGACAATTTTTCACCACTAGAGTTCATCATACTCAAAAGTTGGACACACTACACTGCCCTACACCATCCTCTCTCATCAAAGAAACCAAAATGCAATGTGCTTTTGTAAGCATATACTCCCACATGTTTAAAACCATTGCTAAATAACATATATTCTCTATTTTCTTCTGGGGCATATAAGATAAACTACCACCATGAATCCAATATTGGGTTCATTAAATGGAATTATTGTCTCTCATGACTGTATTAGAATGTACTCCTCAGAGTGTAAAAATTCCATTTTATTTTATTTAAAATTTTCTTTTGGCATGTATATTTCCTAATTTCATTAAATATGTGCAATTTGTGATTCTCCATTTTGCTTTTAGATTATAATCTCACAAAACAGACTTTAAATATACAATATTTGAACTTTAATGGCTTTTTAAATGCAGAATGTATTAGATTAGATGATGTCCAATAGACAGACACTTAAATTTTATGCTTCATTGTTTAAATCCACATCTTTAAAAAAATATTAAATATACTTCCATGGCTCAAAAATGTTTAAGTTACCAAAAAATATTAACTTAATGAAGAATCTCCCCCCTCTTTCTTTTAGCCAACGAATTCACCCTCCCCTCCCCAAAGCAACCATGTGTTAGGCTCTTCTTTACCTCTTAGATATATTTATACATACAACAAAATACATTTATACACTTATATACATATATCTCCCCCTCCCCATTTTAATACTCATATGCATTGTATGGTAGCATACTTCACATGGCATTCTATATCATGTTTTATTATCATTATGTATGCAATTGAGATTGCTCCATATTGGAACTAAAGAGGTCCCTGTTTTTATTTTATAGATGCCTATTTTATTTTATGAATAAATCATAATCTTTAAGCAGTCCTCCATTAATGGCCACTAGATTTTTTAGAATCTTATGCCATTATAAATGATGTTGCAATGAATAATAATGTATACACATCTATTCACACGTGGGCATATCACTTCTGTGGCATAAATTCTTAGAAGTGGAATGCTGGATCAAAGGGTATGTGTATTTGTAATTTTGATAGATATGATCAAATCTCTTCCAAAGAGATTATTTCAATTATAATCATTACTAAATCAGGAAAGTGTCTACATTAGTTTTTTCCATTAAAGCTGTAGGGGATGTTAGTATTTATGTTTCATGCTTAGATAAAGTCACGCATTGCACATTCCAGTGATTTTAGAAGGTTGCTCAGCACCAAAGTTGAACAACATAACCCTTAATTTTAAAAATTGATACCCTGTCTATTAAAGCACTAATGATGAGAAAAAAGATTTTGTTAGCAGTTGCTTAGACTCTGAAATAATAAATATATACCCAAAAGTTCAATGTAGTTCTTGGAAGATAAGTTTCAATCTTCAGAGAAGATCATATAATAACATATTTTTCAGTTGTAGAAAAATCTCATTGACCTCGATGATTTTATTTCTATAAGTTGATTACTTTTTGCAGGTAATTAACAAGGAATCTTAATCACAATTTTTACTTTAAAAACTTAAAAAAAAAATCAAACATCAGAGTCTCTGTCTGCAATAACTTTTTGTAAAATCATTTCTATCACTTCTTGAGTACCTACTATGTGGCCTGATTTATTTATAAGTGTTATGCAACATAATTTATCCAACAAATTGTGAGGTTAATGTTATCAATCCAAATTTAGGGAGCTGAAAATTGAGGCTCAGCATTATAAATTAGTGCAAAGTGACACAACTAACAAGTCCTGGTTAGTAAGTGAATAGGTAAAAATTTCTCACAAGTACTAGTCACAAATTAAGTAGAGAGAAAACATTGTTGAATGAATTAATTAAATATAGAAGTATAATTCCTGCTTTAGATACCTAAAGCAAATGTCTTACCTCAAAAGTAAACGATAAAGAAGGGACAAGAGGTTTCAGGTGACCAAATCTATATAGGATTAGGAACATCAAGCAACGAATAGTTTCCACAATAGCTGCCTTTTGTCTGAAATAAAATGTCATTAACATGCATTAGCTTTAAATATGCTCTTTACATATTTACATGTTATAATGAATATACTGATAAACTTTTAATTTTCAAGAAATAAATAGTATTTTAAAACATTTAAGAAGCATGTCTTTTATTAAACTAAGAAAAAATTCATCTTTTTAAAGAAAATCTATTCTTTATCAATTTATTGTTTAGTTTGAGCATTGATGAGTTAAGTTGAAGTTTATTTTTAACTAATAACTAAATGTTAGACAAATAAATGTCTTGGGTTTAAAGTAAGAGACTCCCCTCATTGACCCAAAACCTTTTCTATTTCATTCATTGAAAAATGACTTGTTGGGAGAATTGATATAGTTTACTCTAAAATAATGAAGAGTTAAATGCAAAGGTTTCATATTTATTTTAAAAGCCACACTATAAAGTTACATAATCTACTAATACTTTACTGCTCTACAGAAAATTCTTAAATTGTGCAAAGGAGAAAAAAAAAAAGAAACATTTCACTTCTTGCCTTTGATCCAGAAGAAATCCAATTGAGGTCAAGGTCAGGATAATGAAGCACACCCTCAGAAGAAGAGTTACGTGCGATAGTACCTGTCAAACAAACACAGAAATGAGTGGATCCTTAGAAGAGTTATTAGAAGGAATATTAGGAGTTAAAGCTGACAAGAAAACAGCCCCAATTTTATTTTCTATTACACCATTTGTCACTGATTCTTTTAAAACATGTTGACTACAGAGAGGACATTCTGGTTTTTGTAATGTGGTTGTGTTTAGTTAGTTTGTTGGACACTTGGAGAATGAATTAAACCATCCCATGATGGTCTTTGCTTAAAATGTTCTTTCTAAAAATCCTTCTTTAAAGTTTTGACTTTCATGATTTTTTGAAGCACATTGGCCCCACCTATGGAGAAATCACTCACATTTCTACATTCCAACAGCTAATTTTAATCACACCAATTCATCATGGTTTCAAATCTAAAGCTTTTTTAATACAACAATTATTTAAAGGAAAATATGTTTATGAATGCAAATATATACATGAAAGAGATTACACATGATCATATCTGATGAAATTGTATATTCATATGTACATGTCAAAGTTATCTTTTGAATTATTGTAACAAAACAACATATTTTTCTGTCAGAGTTAAGAATTAATTACTCATTTAGTTTACATGTCAAAATTTAATAATAATATTCATTGACCATCTGCTATTTTTACAGCTTCCACATGTTTCTTACAAATTCTTTTCATATTCCCAACAACCTTGCAAAATATGTATTATTATATCTGCTTTACATATTGAAAAAAAATGGAGATCAAAAAGGATTATATAACTTTTCCATCATCACACAAAATAAATAATGCCTCTGAAACTCATGCTTCTGGGGCCTGCCTGACCCCAAAGCATGACAATGGTAGAATACAAATGAACGACAGATTTAAAGGGGTCAGTGACAGAGATCTAAGTTGAAGTTACCTAGCCAAGTTTTAAAGCCAGATGAATATTGCTTCAGATGAAAAGTGGATCTGTAAACTCAACGGGTTGAATACACTCTTCCTGAAGACTTCCCTACTCACTGATGGTGCTTCAGTTTCACCTTGGCAATATCAGTGGTGTGATACAATAGAGTGGATAAAATAGTGACCAAAACATTATGCAAACATTCTCTTTCCTTTTTTTTTTTTTTTCCCTGAAATAACTTCAGGTAATTTCAGCTAATTATTAGCTTACATCCTGACTTACAACTAAATTGCATTTGCCCAAAGTTATTAACAATAAGCAAAAGCCACCAGATGCAATTGCTGCTCACAGCAGTACCTTAGCTTTGTGCCACCTTATAAACCATCCCTATGTCTCATGGCCAACTTCCTGGAATGGTAGCCAGAATTGTCAAGGCATTTTAGTATCTCCAAAGCAATAGCTTAGTGGAACAGTACTGCTGAGTGATCACAAATCTGAATAAAATGTGTCAGAATGTTTAGAAATATGAGGACAACAGTGATTATCAAATAAAGGATGTGGAGCTCAGTGGAAAGTAGAATGTCTTAGCGGACAGCCAGAGAGTGCTGTTTGGGGAAGTCAGCAGTAGCTGCTTTGGGGCAGTGAGGCAAAAAATACAAGAAAAACATTTTCTTGGTGGTACAAGCAACTAAGGTGTGTTGAATTAACTAATATTTAATGAAGAGAAACATTTTGCCTTTAAAGAAAAATGATTCTCTCACTGGGTTGCTTCATTTTGATATTTGGGTGAAAATTCACACGGAAGGGAGAAATGGTCTGAACCACAAAAATATAGAACAATTGCAAATACTCTATAAAAACAGAATTTGGAGTTATGCCAATCTATCAGCCATATAGCCATGAGCAAAAGAGTTAACATGTCTAAGGCTTGGAATAAAATTTGAAAAAATATATGAGGTTGGCAAGGACTGTAACAAGCACTTAGAAGAGTGCTTGGCACAAAGGAAAAAGTCAATTAATGGTCATGATTAGTATTGTTGTTACTATGTTCAAGCACTTAGGCTAATCTTAATTACAATAAGATAAAGAAGTGAGAAGTATCAATAAAAGGTCTACTTAGCCCTTCCAAGTATTATATATTTGGTTGTGGTTAGGAAATGTATGATCCCTGGACAAAAGGCAGAAGTCCTCTTTCCCATGTTGCTTCCTGACTACTGGAATCAGAGTGTCAACCAATTTAACATAGGAATCCAGCTACCTAGTCAACACTCCCACATGGCTAATAAGGATCTGAAAGTTAGCAGGTCTGAAACATGGCATTTGATTTCACAATCCCCACCACATGTGTTCATTTTCTTCATCTTAGGAAAGGGCACCTCCAGTTTTGCAATAGATCAAGACAAAAACCTGCAACTCCTCCTTGACTCTTTCTCTCACTGTCTACTTCTAATATATCAGATATATGTATTTAAAATATATCCAGAATAAAGGCATTTGTTACAAACAGCACAACTAATGTTCTCCCAAACATACACTTCACCAGTTGTTGAAATACCCTCCTAACTGGTCTTCCCACTCCTAAAAGTGCCTGTCCATGGATCAAAGCCCCACCCACCGTATGCAGAGTTGTCCTTTAAAGCATAAGTCAGTTCATGTCATGCATGTTCTAAATCCTGAAGGGGCTTCAAACCTCACTCAGAATAAAGCTCAAAGTCCTTACTCTGGTCTACACACACCATATTCCAATATCAGCACCTACTAATCTCTCTCTTTTTCAATCTTAATCCATATCAGAAATGTTACTGTTCTGGAACATGACAAACATCTTCCCACTCAAGTGTATTTCACCTACTATTCCTTTTGCTTGGAATGACTTCCTCCAGTGATCTTTGTGGCTCATTTCATTCAGGTCTCTATTCAGATATGCATCTCTGTCAATACTACATAAAACAGTACTCTGTTATTCTCTATAATCATTTTCTGTTTTACTCTTGTCTATATGACTTATCAATTCCATACACATACATTTGTTTGTGCATTGTCTATCTGTTTTTTGTCTGACTCCTTTCACTAGAATGTAAACTCCATGAAAGCTTTTATCTCTTTATTCATTGTTGTATTCCAAGTGCCTAGAACATTGCCTGGCACATAGCTAGTACCCAATATGTGTTCACTAAGTGAATGAATATTTTAAATATATGTTTTAATATTAAAACCTTTAATGGTAATAACTTTAAGTACATTTCAAATTAAATTAATCAATAATTAATACTCTAATATTAACTACTTAAATAAATATTTTAAATGTCTTAAATTTTTAAATAAATTTGATTTAATTTAATTATTTGATCAATAGTTTAATATTAAAATATTAAATGTTTCAAGATGTTTAATAATAATTTCTTTCTTTAATCCTTTATAGAACAGAATTGTCCTAAAAGTGTTTGAGTTTAAAGGAAATTAAGAGTACTAAAAAAGGGAATTCAGTGCGGAATATGTATGCTTCTCTAGAGAGTCCATTTTCCTATGGAACTACTAAGTATTTTCATATAGCCTCCTTTGAAAGGCTAATTAAGGCATATAATTAATTTATTTTCTCTAACTGCTACACATTTTTTTCATTCTACAAATATTTACTGAGTATGTGCTGAGCACTATGATAAATACGAGTTTGAGAGAGTGAGCAAGAAGGACAAAATCCCTGCCCTTGAATTCATACCATCTTTATCCCTGTGGATAGGACCATAGGTCAGCTACACTAGAGCAAAAGGTTGGGGGGGAGGATAGAATTTATAGGCTTTGACCACTGTAAATACTAGTCTCCTGTGTTTTCAACAATATGAGAAATCACATATAGCTTGTTAGTTTTTTTTATAATCGGAAAGTTTTTATTTTTCATTGGGTTTACTCCCATTTCATACCATCCACTGCTGGTGTACCTTTCACCTAAAATATCTCTGCCCTCAAGTGCTAAAATGGAATTATTCTAAATTAACCTTTGAGTGTATTATCAGTCCTTATCATGAAAAGCATACAAGGAAAGTCGTATTATAAAAAGCTTCATGAAGCTAGGAATTATTTTTCCTTCTTTAAAATTCTCTTTTAAATCCCAAGCTGTTTGGTAAGCCTTATTTACATAGGTTTTCCAGTGTGGTAATCATGGTCAAGAGTTGTAGCTCTGTGCATGCCTGAAGAACACTACTTTCCTGCAATAATTCTTTAAATAGATGAGAAAAACTACTCCAGAGGAGACAACTACACAAAAACTCCAGATTACATGTTGTATACAATGTTCCTTAAATAATCAATAAACACACAACACCATGATACAACTTATAATTCTATGCAGGTCTCAAAAATCTGTCTTGAAATAAGACTGCACTTTAAGAAAATTGTCAATATTGACTATCTTTTCTTTTCCCTCTAAATATTCAGAAGTCCCTAGGTGTCTACTATTGAAGCATACTAAAAGGAACATGATTAGAATGAACATTTTCTAGAATTTCAAAGAAGCAAACACAATAAATATATCAAAGATGAAACTATACCAGCTAAAAAATACAATGAATACATGATTCAGAAACATTGAATTGCCATGGAGTTAGTTGGTCTCTACAAAAATTTGTAAGAAATAAAAGCCAAAGATCCTATTTTAGAACTTCAAGTAAATGTTGAAATATTAGATATATTAGTTATATTTTCAACTATGACTCTATTCCACTAAAAAGATCAATGTGCACCTGACAAAAAAAAAAAAAAGTGACAGTTTTGCCCTCCCACCTGAAAAAAATAAACAATAAAAATGCATCTGAAGCCATTGTTTTCAAAATGTTGGACACCAGGTAACAAATGACAGTGATCTCAGAGAAACAGGATAAAAATAACATGATCTCTATCGCCCCAAATTACTGCCTTGAGAGTTCTAGGCTGAAGCACAGATAGAAACCAGAGGAGCCTTGTGGACTCCCTGAATTAAGGAGATGGAGCTAGGACTTAGGAGAAACTGAGGAGGCTATTGTATGGAAGACCAAATACAAAAGAGGAGAGAGTTGCACAGAGAGAACTCTATGAATCTGCGGAGGGCACCCATCAAGTCTTCAGTATATCAGCTCGTGCATGTGAATA